GTGGGAGGGGGAGTGGGGGGGAGTGGGGGTGGGGGGCGGTGTGTACGGGTGAACGTGTGTTGTTGCTGGTGGGCGAGTGTGGGACGAGGAGGAGGAGGAGGAGGGAGTGGAGTCATGACGGGATCAATGGGGGGGTATTAACGGGATGGCGGTGGCGGGCCCCCAAAGGGCTTTTAGAGCCATTTTCTCATGCTGCTAACGCACATACATACATACATACATACATACATACATACATACATACATACATACATACATACATACATACATACATACATACATACATACATACATACATACATACATACATACATACACCCCACCATTTTCTTCTCGCGGCTCTCAAATTGTTAAAACTCGACAGAAATGATGTTTGTCTTCGTTTGCCTCCCCGCAGCCCGCCCTGCCCATCCCCGCCTACCCCCCGGGTGCTATGACACCGCACACTCGTACGTGTGTGTACGTGTGTATGTATGCAGGTCCGTCCCCCCGGCGCGGGTCCCCACACCACCCTATGCATCACCGACATAGACAGCAGCACGGTGAGGGGCTACTACCACAACACACAACACACACACACACACACAAACACACACAAACACAAACACACAAACACAAACACACAAACACACAAACACAAACACACTCACACAAACACACAAACACAAACACACAAACACAAACACACACACACACACAATGCAAGCAGCGTCGGCACAGTTGCACAGGTCACAGTTGCATAGGTCCCATCACGGTGGTACGTTCCGTCGTGACGCCTTCGTCTGGCTCGTGATCGTAACGCACACATGCACCCTTGCAGCACAGCATGCCCCCCCAACCCCCAACCCCCAACCCAGTTGCAATTCCCCCCATCGTTATTGCACTGCCATCATTGCCTTTCTCGTCTCGCTTCATCAGGGGGGAAGTCAGGGGAATGCTTATCACAATAAACACAATAAAAAAACTGGTGACCCTATCTGCCATCCCAACCCGCCCATATCCCCGTCTCTCCGCCCACCTCCCAGTCCTCCACCTTACACGCTTCTTTGACTTTTGCACTGAATCCCCCTCACCTCCACCACCACCTCCACCACCACCTCCACCACCGCCACCTCCACCACCACCTCCACCACCACCTCCACCACCACCGGCACCTGGCCCCGGTCCCCAGACTCTGTGGGAGTCACTACCTGCCAGTGCGATGGAGGCGGCGATGGAGGTGCATGGTGAGAGCTGGGGGGAAGAGGACGGGGAAGGAGGGGGAAAGGGGAAGATGCAAAAACTGTGTTTGTAAGATTTGTACGACAACGAGAACACTCATCGGTTGAGAAGTTGGTTTTTTGGGGAGGGTGGGGTGGGGCCAGATCTCTGGGCCACCGACATGTGTGTGTGTGTGTGTTTGCACCCGCGTCTCCCTACCGCCTTAAACCCCCTCCCATTTCCCCGGGGCCCCCCCTCAACGCCCCCCTCCTACACTACCCCACTGCCACCATCGCGGTCCAGACGCGACCTTACGCAGCTTGGCGACGTTGCATGACGGCTACGAGTCGGCCAACGAGGGAGGTGAGTGGGGGCGGGGTGGGGTGGGGTGAGGGGAGGTGAGGGGGGGGAGGGAAAGGGAGGGGAGAGGGGGGGGAAATGGGGAATGGGACTGCGCTTCTGAGGTATAGGGTATAAGTAGGGGGATGGTGTGGGATACTGTTTCATGTCTTGCCTGGAGGGTGTGTCGTGTCAGGATGTTTCTCCTGCCCGTCATCCCCTTTTCGATTCCCATGAACCGCAGATTCTTTCGTGTTGGCTTTTCATGACCCTTTCGAGGCGGTACTCTTCGCCGTGAAGGCCCAGCAGCAGCTGCTGCTAGCCAAGTGGCCCGATGCGCTGCTGCGACATGAAAAGGTGAAACACACGGTAGCGTCCGACGGACGTGTGCATCGCGCGCACATCAGCGATGGTGATGCCGTACTGCCGTACATGTAGTAACATGTGCCGTACTACCATTACAAATGAACATTATTAACATACACGCGCCCCTCCGCATACACCCGCTCTCCCGCCTCCAGGCCGAGGCGGTGTTCATGACACTGGTCAGCGACAGTTCCCTCCTGACCTCCGCCTGCAGCACATCCTCCTGGTGCGCACAAATGATGCAAGTAGTCCACAGCAAGGCCATAACCGCACACGCCCCCCGCGGCGGCGGCGGCGGCGGCGGCGGTGGTGGCGGCGGCGGCGGAGGACGACTGGGGCCGCTGGGCCTCGCCCTGGGGCTGGGCAGTTTGACCGGCGGAAGGGGGGAGTCGTTGAATTTCGGCCTCCGCGCGCATGGACTTCAGAAAACGATGTGGGAGGCCGCGCGCAGTGTACGGCGTCGCCTGGCGTCCGTCAGCGGCGCGGCAGGGGGGAGTCCTAGCACTGGGCCCGACCCTTTGAGGCAGAGCAGTGGGCAGGCAGCGGCGGCGGGGATGGCGCCGGCAGCGCCAGGCAGTGACAGCGGAATCGTGATGTCGTGGGTTGGTGGCAGCGGCGGCGGTGGCGACGGCGACGGCGACGGCGATGGCACGTTTGAGGTGGCGATGGCGTCAAGAGGACACCTGACGGCGGCGGCGGTGGCGGCGGCGGCGGCAGGGACAGCGACGGGGGAGGCAGGGGCAAGTGGCTTGCAGGTCTTCGCTGCCGGCGGCGGCGGCGGCGGCGGCGGCGTCCGAAGCGGTGGAATAGGCGGGGACTGGGACCGTGTTCAGTTGCGCGGCTACTCCTCGGGTCAGGTAGTCCAAATCAGCGGATGTAGTACTGGCGGCGGCGGCGGCACATCACCGGTGGGGACGCCGTCGGCTCTTCGTCCGCGACCTAGGGCATCTCTGTCGTACGGCAATATGCTGCATTTGCAGTCACGCTTCGCCGCTACAGGCGGCGGCAGTGGCAGCATAGCGGGCGGCGGCGGCGGCGGCGGCGGCGGCAGCTGGATTAGCCGTCAGGTTCAGTCCCAACCGCCCGCAGGCTTTCCCCCGGGACCCTCCCCTCTCTCGGCCCCGTCACCCCCGCCAACACAACACCACTCCCACAACATCGCTAGCGCAACAAGTACCCCACAAACCACCACCACCAACAACAACAACGGCCATCACAACAACCACAACAACCAACACGAGCACCGCCGACACCAAACAGACAGCACTGCCCAAGACACGGACGCGGCCGTGGCGGCGGGTACGGCATCGGAAGCGGCTGCCGTACAGCTGCATCAACAGCAACAACAGAAGCAACGACCTCTTAGCAGCTTCAACGGCTTCAGGCCCCCGACAGCAACGGACTCCGCAACTGTCGCGGCAGAATCTCCCAGCACCGCCAGCGCCGCCAACGCCCATGCAGGTGACGTCAATCATTTTCCTCTTCTCACTGCGACAAGCCGACTGCAACCGGGAGAGACGCAGCAGGAGCACCGGCCGCTGCTGCCGCCACCGCTGCCGCCGCCATCGCCGCCGCCGCCATCGCTGCCGCCGTCACCACCCCAGCAGCAGCAGCCAGGGCCGGCTCTGGGAGGACCCTGCGCTGGAGAGGGGATTGTCGCTGACGGCGCCGATCCCGTGGCGTCGGCGGCGGCACTCGTTTCCATGGTATCGACGGCGGCGCTGGCGGCCCTCGCGACCTCCGGCGCGCGCATTTCCAGCAGCTCGGCGGCGGGTACTGTCGTACAAGGCGTCAGCGCGACGGAGGAAGTGCTGTTGGTTGCGGGTGCCGGCGGCAGCGGCG